TGCCCAGCTGGGAACAGAAACCAAGAAGATGTGTGTATTTGGACAGGAGAATGGAAAGCTAAAGGGCCAGATCCAGACCTGGTCTCTAGAAACCAAAGCTAGAGAAATACCAACACACAGAAGGAAAAAATGGTGGTCAAGTAAGTCCTCACCCATTTAAGTTCATGGTCAAGGACAAAGTCACCATGCTTAGGTGAGAGACATCACTACCACCACTTGAGGCTGGATCTTAACTGCAGTGAACACACAGCCTAGGCAGCGTGTGAGCAAGGTATCCTCCTGTATCCCCCCAAGTCCCCCCCCACCAACCCAGGTGTACATGCCCCTATGGGTTCATTCATGCTCATCATTACAAATTTTAAATTTCAGCAAGCTCATTCAGCAAGTCCCCACCTTACTAATGGACTGAAGAACAAACAAACAAACAAACAAACAAACAAACAAACTGCTGCTCTCCAGGATTAATGGTCTGCACTGTAGGAGGGGCGCTGTTGACGCCCCATCCATGGCCCCTTCCCGGGCCAGCGTACCCACCCCCGCCACTATGAGTGCGGGCAGCTAATGGTTCACAGCTGTTCCCCTTCTCTGGAGGGCTGCCTTCGGGGGAACGGGAGCCCTGCTCGGGTGTCACACATGCACCATGCCACCGAGCCCCGGCAACCAATGACGGATGGAGATGGAGGAACTCAGGGCTGGCCTCCGTGCTTCCAAGTGGGACCAACCCTGTGGCACAGTTCAGGAGCTCGGGCAAAGGGAGAAGGCCGTTGAGGTCACATCCTCTCCTGTCTGCCGCTATCCTGCTTCCCTCGCTCAGTAAACCACATGCATCTGAACAGGCTCTGCTTTTAGAGAATCTGGCCCAGGCGTCCAGTCAGTCCTCAAATGTCTACACAATGCCAACTTTGAATGAAGTAGTCTTCATGGTAGCTTGGCCCCCTAAGCCTCCAGAATCTCCAAGACCAAACTCATCGGAGCCCTCAAGTTCTTTAAGTCTTGATGTCCAGGGTACCCACGCCTGAAGGCTCTCTGGGCCTGGAGAGGTTGAGAGGGGAAACAAGGGACAAGGACGAGCTGCTCCTGAGGCAGCGTCTACGGGCAGCTTCTACCAGAGGGTTTGGAGTGGGCACCAGCAGCTCACAAGGAAATAAAAGGAAATATTCTGGGGTAAGAGTAGGGGGATGTCCCGTGTCCTGAGGGCCTGAGGGGAGGAGGGTGAGGAGCCAGGCCCCAGTACAGAGAGGACAAGCACTCCTTGGAGGAGTGAGGCAGCTGTGGCCCCAATTTCTGGTCTCCAGGACCTGAGACACCTGCTGGCAAAGGCTAACTACTCACTCAAGGAACAGACAGTTCTAAGTCAGAGGACGCCTTTGGTGACTTGTGGTAATAGGGGCTAGAGTTATTAACCCACAAGGAAGTGGGGAGGGAGCCAGAGTCATGCACAGAGCCCCCTAGATCCCATAAGTGAGGGGGCCTGAATGCTCTCCTGGATCAGCACGAAGGTGAAAGGGAAAGAAGAACACTCCTTGAGCCCATTCACCTCGCAGGTCCTGTTCTAAGTGAGGCACCTGCAAGAAGCCCATGGGGGAATCTATGTGAAAACTAGTATCCATGTTCTCATATGAGCAAATTAAGGCTCAGGGAAGTCAAGAAAATAATTCAGTTTCCCCTTCTCTTCCAAGCCTTTCCACTGTCATTTACACTAACTGCCGTCTCTCCAACGTAAAAATAACAGAAGCAAGCAAACAATACAAACCCCCACAATCTCTTTGGTCCCCTGATCCTCTTTCAGCACTCTGTCTAAGGGCTCTTCCCGCGCCCCAGAGATTCAAGAATGAATTGTCTGCCCCCCCCCTTCTTCTTATCCCAATTCATTCCTGCACTCACTGCAGTGTGGCCCAGCGGCATCCCACTCCCCACACCCCCACTGAAAATACAAGACCACCAGAACCTTCTCATGCTGTGAAGCCAAGGCACACATTTGTAGCTTTCATTTACTCGATGTCTGCAGCCTTTCGCATCATTGAGCACTTCCACCATCTGGAAACACACACCTCCTTTAAAATTCACCTTGCTTTCCAGCTCTCCCTTCCATTGCATCATCTACTGCTTCTGTCTCCTTTGAGGCGCCTGGTTTATAGAGTTGCCTTTAGTGATGGGACAGCTTTGCTTCAGTTTGTACACACAGCACCTGGGCCCTGCCACAGGAAGGGATGTGCAGTGAGTGGCCAATCAGCCCCTATAAGGAAGAGCTCTCATCCCAACCTGCCTGGGTCCAACCCTTGTGTGGCCCACTCCTCCCAAGATGACTGTTCTCCAATTTGAAGCAGTTCCCTCATCAAAAAAGTGGATGTCACTATAAAAGTAAATGTGCAAGAGGGAGTGAAATCCCTGGTGAAGACAGTCTTGTAACACACACACACACACACACACCTTATAATGACACAGCTAGTTTAAATGTTAAACCTACAGGGCGACAAAAACTCTTAACAGTCTGTATACTCGGCCAAGTACAAAAAGCAGAATTCCTGCCCACCAGCTGAAAGCTCCAAAAACTCTGCCTTGCCAGGAGAAAATAAACATCATTGCAGACACACAAAACCTGCATTTAGTTCTCATTCGGCCGGGGCCTGTAAACAGCCCATTTGGCTGGTGGGTGTGGCTCCTGAGATGGCCAGGCTTGAGCCTCCCCAGAAATAAAGCCAGCTCGTTATCAATCTCAGGGTGGGTATGGGTCTGCTTTGAAGTGACACACTCCACAAGCAGCAAGCTTGGGCCTTATGCCTGATCGTCTGTGGCAGGTGAATGATCAGGATTGGCAGGGAGCTCCTGCCTGCCACAAAACAACAGCAATGTTATAATGATGAGGGAAGTGCCGGAAGATTGCTCAAACAGTGCTTCTAGTGCTTGTCTCAGTCTGTAACTTTGGTTGCTAGCCTGCAACGAGGCACATAGGTACCTGAGAGGATGTTCTGAGAAGCTTTCATAACAATTTGGCAGGGGAATTTTATGTCCATTTAATTTAACAAAAAATCGTGTTTGTATTTGGAATACTTTATTTTAGCTTCATATATTTTTTTAAGATTTTATTTACTTGTCAGAGAGAGAGAGTGTGTGTGCAAGCATGAGCAGGGGGAGCAGCAAGGAGAGGGAGAAGCAGACCCCCTGCTGAGCAGGGAGCCCGATGTGGGGCTGGATCCCAGGACCCTGAGATCATGACCAGAGCCGAAGGCAGACGCTTAACCGACTGAGCCACCCAGGTGTCCTATTTTAGCTTTATATTAATTGATTTTTAGTGTATTTTGCTAAGGTATCATCTGCCAATACTAGAAAACAATTTTTAATGGTCCACAGAGAGTTTGAGAAGTAGTGAAATAAACAATAAAAGGAAAAAATCCTATTCATTAAAAGATCCTCCAAGAGGAGAAAGATAAGCCACAGAATGAGAGAAAACGTTTGCAACTTATTATGAAAGTTTTATGTAAAAAAGAAATCCTGCATTATGTAAATAATTCGAATCAATTAGAAAAATGGGCAAGAAACTTGGGTAGACATTTTACAGAGGAAATGCTAGTGCCTGTTTAAAATGTAGTAAGTACTCAACCAGACAAATGAATATCACAACTGGGTCACCCCAGGGTAGTCACCAGATTGGCAAAAAGGTAAAAGTCTCCCAATTCTGAAGGCTGGTGAGGATGCTGAATAACAAGAAAGTAAAGTGGTAGGTATAGTTTAGCAAACTCTCTGGCAGCATCCACTAACGCCGAAGACACACCTACCCCATGGGCAGCAATTCCACTCTCAGGAACCAGCAGAAATATGTTCACATGTGAACCACATGACCTGGATGAGCACAACCACGCAAGATAGCTTGTGATGGCCACCAAATGAGAACAAGCCAAATGTCCTCCAGCACACTGGAGAAATAAACAGTGCTGTATTCACACTTAGTAAACAGCAGTGAAGACAAGAAACCACAGCTTAGGCAACAACGTGGATGAATCTCGACCACGAGACAGCACCCTAGTCTCAGCATGGTCCCATGGGATCTGCAGGACATTCTAGGGACAGACTGTCTGATAAATTCATTCACATTGTGGTGCTGGAGTCATTCCCCTCCATGGAGCTAGCCTCCGTTTGGTACCCAGATATAATGGGGGTCAGGAAGCGGTCCCTGAAGAAGTCTTGGGGTAAGAGGAGCCTTGGGGGTCAGGGAACAATTCAGTCGGGCATGAAGCCATAAGGTCAAGAGTGGGGAGGCCAGGTCAGGCTGTGGCTGGGGACAGTGATTTCTGCTACTGGGAGAATCCCCAAGGGGCTGGGCAGAGGTGGGATGCAGAAGCCTGTGACCCCCAGGTATATGACAATAATGGAGTGAGGACATCTAGAAGAACCACATCAGGTTTCTGTCGAGGCCCACCAGGAGTCTTTTCAGTCTCAACTAAATATGTTGGCTCACGTGACTGCCATAGGCTACAGGCCAGGGAATAGAGCAAGGCTGCAGGGCAGCGACAGGTGGCTCTCGTCAGTGGGGCCAGGCCACACAGCTGTCTTAGAGTATCCTCCCTGCCTCAACCTCCCCAGGACTGCTCCCGGGTAAGGGAGCAGGACTTCCATGTGCGGCTGTGGACCCACCCTGGGTTCCAAGCCCCGTGCGCCAAAGAGCCAGAAGCTCCTGTCACAAGCCACAGCAAAGCCCGCAAGGTCCCCACAAGGGTTATGCCCGGTCACAAGAGTCACCACTCAGGGAAGCCCAGCTTGCAGCCTGCATTCATGACAGCCCTCCCGGCCCAGTTTACCAATCCCGGGTCCCTTTCCCCACAAGTGCTCTTTCCTGGTACCGCATCTTGATCAGATTTCTAGGTAAACTTTCTAAATAAGTTAGAGTGGAGATGTTGTCAGCTCCAGAACCCAGGGGAAAGGTCTGAAAGGGACCCTTGTGGAGAAGAGCCCATCCAGCACAAGTGGAGTGGCTCTGCCCCGAGGGCGTGGGGGCGGCTTACCTTTCCCGCAGACCTGCACCAGGCCGTACCACTCCCCACAGCCGTTACACAGTAGGGTGAAGGCGGTTTCGCGGTGGCCCGTGACGTGGCCCGGGGCGCACATGTACAGCAGCTCGTCCCCCATCTCCAGGCCCGTGCGGCCCTGCAGGATGGTGTGTGGGAACGAAGGCGGGTCTCCACACGGCTTCTCTGAGGACAAGGAGTCACAATCAGCTTTCCCAAAGTACGCAGCCCTTGTGCAGCCGGGGAGAAAACTAGGTTAAATACAACTCTCCCCCTCCCTGGGTGCTGCCTGCACCCTGAGCTGGGATCACAGGGGCTAGTAACTCCTTCGCCCTCGGCATCCCCAGAGCCTGGACAAATGCCGGCGCCCAAATGAGGTACTCAACAAAATACTTGTTGCAACTTTGTATTTCGAAATTGCCACGCAACATTACCCTCTCACGTCTCCTTGAAAGGAAGATTCAGAAACATATGCCTGACAGCAAGCTCCTTCTTGTCTTACATAAGTGAGCAGGTACTTTCTGTCAAAAAGCTAAGAGGCTACAGACTATCAAGTGCAGCGGAAGGGGCCTCTCGCTTCCCCCAGCCTCAACTCTGATGCTGTCACTGTTACCCGTTAGGTCTATACAAATAAATACAGACATAGGTATAAATATACACCAACATACAGACAGACTTAGGTAGGTATAGATAGGTATAGTTATTTATTTATTTGAAATTAAAATTTAATATATCACAAGTTTATGGTATTCTACAAAAACTAGTGAGACATCCAGGTGAGCCAAATTCCAAACAAGTTAGAAAATTATGCCACAGAGTTTGCTGTGACTTCATCCATACCCTCCCTATCCCTGGGTCAGTCCTACCTGCTGTAAGTTGTATTTTTTTTAATTTAATTTAATTATGTTATGTTAATCACCATACATTACATCATGATGTAGTGTTCTTTTTTTAAAAGAGTTTATTTATTTGAGAGAGAGAGAGAGGGAGGGAGGGAAAGCACAGAGGCAGAGGGAGAGGGAGAAGCAGGCTCCTCACTGAGCAGGGAGCCTGACGCAGGGCTCGATCCCACGACCCTGAGATCATGACCTGAGCTGAAGGCAGATGCTTAACCGACTGAGCCACCCAGGGGCCCCTAGGTAGGTGTAGTTTCGTGTGTGTGTGTGTGTGTGTGTGTGTGTGTGTGTGGTTTTTAACATAAAAATGGTTATATCATATGTATTACTGATAACTGCTTTTTAAGAAACCTGTTTTTTGGGGCGCCTGGGTGGCTCAGTCGTTAAACGTCTGCCTTCAGCTCAGGTCATGATCCCGGGGTCCTGGGATCGAGCCCCGCACTGAGCTCCCTGCTCTGTGGGAAGCCTGCTTCTCCCTCTCCCACTCTCCCTGCTTGTGTTCCCTCTCTCACTGTCTCTCTCTCTGTCAAATAAATAAAATCTTTAAAAAAATAAAATAAAAATAAAAAACCTATTTTTTAGAGCAGTTTTAGGTTCGCAGCACAATTGAGTGGAAAGCCAGAGAGTTCCTATATATCCCCTGTCCCCATACACACAGTCTGCCCTATTAGCAACATCCCACACCAGAGCGGCGGCACGTCTATCACAATCTATGAACCTCATTATCACCCCAAGTCTGCAGTTTACATTTGGGTTCACTCTGTGGGTGAGCCCCACGCTTGGATCTGAAGATGGAGAAAAGCGCCCCCCCCCACGCCCCAGAACCTCTGCCAGTGCTCTGCCCTCACATTGGCCCCGAGAATCACTTTTGGGCGATGGGGCCCAGGTTTCCTTTTAACCCCCCCCCATTCTAGTTCTCCTGTGAGAATGTTTTCACTGGTACATATTTTTTTTTACTGGAAATGAGCCTTTTAAGAATAAATGTAGGGGCGCCTGGGTGGCTCAGTTGGTTAAGCGACTGCCTTCGGCTCAGGTCATGATCCTGGAGTCCCGGGATCGAGTCCCACCCACATCGGGCTCCCTGCTGAGCGGGGAGTCTGCTTCTCCCTCTGACCCTCTTCCCTCTCGTGCTCTCTATCTCTCATTCTCTCTCTCTCAAATAAATAAAATCTTAAAAAAAAAGAATGAATGTAGACTGGTTTGTGTTAAAACTTGCAAATTGCTTATGAAATACCCAAGACTTCAGCCAGCAAGGGAGCCCCTAAGGTGAGGAGGGGAGAACCAAGCTTTCCTGTTTCCACATTGGTGGGATCCCTGGGGTCTAGCTCACATGAGACCCGTGGGTTCAGAGGTCTGTGGGGCAGACCCAAACACAGAGCCGTCATGTGGAGTAACACTTTCACTACTAGCTAATGGTCACTGAACTGGGGCCCGGACCAAAGGTCAGACTTCCAGCCTCAAGGTGCACAGTGGGTGCTCCTGCTGTGGTCGGAAGCGCCTCCCTACTGCATCCTCTCAAGTAGTGACAGAAGAATAAACTCCATTCAAAGCAGAAATAGCTTAGTGGCAAAGCTTCAAATTTCCCACCATTAAGTTTGATGTTAGCGGTAGGGTTTTCATAGATGTTCTTTACACAGTTGAAGAAGTTCTCCTCTATTCCTAGTTTGCTAAGTTTTATCATGAATGGGTATTGGTGTTTTCAAATGTTTTTCTGTATCTATCAATATGATCCCATACTTTTTCTTTAGCCTGTTGATATCATGGGTTGTATTAACTGATTTTTGAATGTTGCCCAGGCTTGCACACCTGGGATAAATCCCACTTGGTTCTTGTGTATAATTCTTTTTTATATATTGCTAGGTTCAAATTCCTAATGTTTTGTTGAGGATTTTTACATTTATGTTCATTAGTTATTGGTCTGTAATTTTACTTTCTTGTGATGACTTTGTCTCATTTTGGTATGAGGGGTAAATGCTGGCCTCATAGAATGTGTTAGGAAGTATTCCCTCTGCTTCTAACTTCTGGAAGAGATTGTCTTAACAATTGGTATAATTTCTTCCTTAAATGTTTGGTAGAATCTCTAGTGAACTCATCTGGGTCTGGTGTTCTCTGTTTGGCAAGGTTATTGATTATTGATTTAATTTCTTTCCTTACATGCCGGGCTAGAAACTAGAAGTCTGTTTTTTCCCCTAATGTTCTAGAGCTGTTTCTACATAAGTACCATAAATTACCTCAATCTTTTGAAAGGCTATACTATAGCACATTATTTAGTCATTACATAGACATTTTGTTGATTTCAAGTTTTCACTGTTATAAATAATGTTACAAAATGAACAGCTCATAGGTACATTTTGGTACATACTTTATTAGGATAACCTTCTAGAAGTGGAATTGCTGCATTCAAGTGATGTGATGATTTTTTTTCAAAAAAAGGAAATAATTTTTAATTTGAATTTCTTCTTCTAGTTTTATGTTAGAAAGGAGAACCTTTAGTCCATATGCAGTCAAATCACCTAAGAAGCACATTGCTTTAAAAAAGAAAATATGCTAAGAAAAGATGAAAATAGAAAACAGAACTTACGCCTTAAGCCACACTGATTGGCCTGTCAGCTTGTTAATTTTGGTAGCACTTTTTCAAAGAGAGTCATTGCTATGCATGTTCTTTAACACAAGAGTTTCTGAATGAAAAGATGGTGTGATTGCCTTTCAGGGAAGCTGGCACAGAGTGCCAACCGTGTCAAGATGGTAACCCCAACCATCCTGACTGTGTAGCCGAGGAGATCGAGTGTTTGCTTCATCTATGGAGCAAGTAGGGACAGGCAGCCATCTGAGAGTTGCCACAAATCCAGGGCTGCCCGCACTGGGCAGAGAGGCGTCATCACTCGGTCTGGGGAGGGCATCCTGAGAGGAATGGACCAAAGCCTCAGTCATGCAAGGCTGGCCTGAATTCCAGCTAGGCCAACAGCCTCCATCTCTCTCTCTCCACCATCCTCAGTGGGTTAGGACTCATGCTGGACATCCCAATTTTCTCTCCTCTTACCAGGACCTCATTCTGGGAAACTGGAGGCTCTTTGTCAAACACTATCAAGGGACCAGTAAACACGATCAGTCTCACGCAGCTCTATCTGTGGGACACAACACCAAATCCTTGGAAGGAAAATTCGGAAGCAGAGTAACTGTTCTGAGAGTAGATAAAGGGGGAACTTCAGGCCAAATTCACACCCTACCAGACTCACGGGATCTTCTCCCTCACAGTATCGTCTCCCTCACAGTTAATTTCCAGAACAGCACAGGCTAGAATCTGGCTCGGGAAAACCACAATCATACTCCTGAGAGTCTACATACACATACCATATATTTCTGAATTTCCCACAAATGTTCAAGACAGGAAACACACTGCTTCTTAGGTGGTGTGATTTCAAAAACTTCAGGACAACAGTTCCATGTGTTAACACAACCAAGGGCATGCCAAAAACACCACTCATGCCCAGGCGCAACTTGAATTAGTTCCTTTCATTAACCTTCCCATCTTAAACCTCACAAGGGAGCTCTGAAAAACATCTGGCTATAGACCTAGATCCTATTCCCTTAGCCTTCCCTACTACTTCTCAATTATTCTGCAGCTAGGGATGGTGGTTTGTGAATTTCTCAGACCCTAAAGCTGGGTTTCAGCAATTTCAACGTAAAGAGCAATTTCTGTTATTTTCCCTTCCAAGAAAAGAGATTTTATGAAAGATCTTGTCTATAAAATAGTATTAATAAACAACTCATTTGCCAATCACAGCTTCTGATAGTCAGTTTTCACAGAATTTAGAACTCATATGAAAGTTGATGCTTTTCTTTTGAGAAATTTTAAGCCTACAGACCCTCATAACTCCTTTGCAAAACCAAGATGCAGACATTCTGACACAAATGCTTGGCCTCTCCTCCTTCCTTTTGGTGTTATCTAAGCTATGTGAAGAAGCTGTCTTTTGTGCCCACCTGCCCAGCTCCCTCCCACCCTACTCACCCCATACACAACCAGCACTGCTCTCCCTGTTCTGTCCAGTTTTATTGTGAGTTCCCAAGCTCTCCATATCAGTGCTCCTCAAACTTGAACATGATCAGAATTACCCGAAGTCTTGTAACACACACACACCCTCTCAGAGACTGTTGCGTTTTTGAGTTTCTAACTAAAAAATGGGTCATAGTTAGGGCCCAAGAATTTGCATTTATAACAAGTTCCCAGGTGATGTTAATACCACTGGTCCAGGGACCATTCTTGGAGAACTAGTGCTCTAGATAAAAACC